GAAGAGAAAGTGGAATAAAGATCCCGTAGCTCGTACCGAGAGCGGTCCATCCCATAACACTTGTTCCTTTTGTGCTTTATGCATAGTAGATAATTGCTCCCCCACATCCCGCGTACTCTTTGGAAGTGTAACAACAACTCCGACAGCTTCTTTATGGCACTGGGATTCGGTATGCTTCTTAAATGCTGCTGTAGCATCTTTCCAACCAGAGAAACCTTTTGTGATCTGAGAAATGTAGCAAACAATAGAATATAATAGTTTAATATATAAGGGATAATAAAGCGGCATGGTATCAAAAGTCAAAAGTGGAAAACTGGATTAAATTAAATTGAGTTTTAATAGTTATACATAGACTTGGAGATATGTACAATATACACTTATTTCAATAAAGTTAGTCACCCGAAAAGCTACAAAGCTGAGGCCGACAAGGATTATGGGTAGATTCATTTTACACGTTCAACCGCTTGATAACTGTTCATGRACTTGCGAATTTTTTACCGGTTACAGTATCACCTCTTCTGAGCATCATCGAGCTGAAGTTTGTATTAAAAAAGCTTTGTATATATATATATATATGCTTATTTGAGTTTCCCATGATGCTTAGTGATCTCAGCTTTCTAGGTTTTTGGTGACTAACTTTATTGAAATAAGTGTATACATCAGCGTTACAGACCATGATATATAGGTCTAGGAGGTAATCAACAGAGTCAAAGYAGATGCCTTACACATTGTTTATTTAACAACCATTTTGATGAACAATTTATTAAACACAATRTAAAATAAGTGATAATTAATATTAGTAATATTATAACAATAATATTAACAACAATACAAATACTTTTTTTAAATGATAATATTTTGCCAACGTGGCAACGGAAGATACTATAGGGAAAACCCCCTCATGCATATGTCACTGATCAGTCTCCCTCGCAGCCGTGTTTAGTGTGTTTACGCGTTACGTTGCGTGACACACTAACACGGCTGCTAGGGAGACTATTAAATGGCACTTGTTATATCATAATTACTAAAAAATTGAAACTGGCTAAAGATGATARGGCTTGAGACCTTAAATATGTGCAGTTTGATAGCGTGAGAAATTTTAACTGCGGCGAGGCCTTTAGAAAATCAAAGTTGTCAATATTAGTAAATGACAGGTCTAATTTTAATAGTCGAAGACATTGTCGTAGTTAAATTCTTAATATGCATTTGCATTTGCAGTGTATTGCATAAATTCAATTCCACTATTTCCATGGAATGTTGGATAATTCTCTCAACTTCACTTGTGCGCGTTAAAAATCGACCTTGACCAAGACAAACCTTTCTCCATGGCATTAAATTTTCGAAAAAATAATTCCATTTCTTGCATACAGTTGATAATRTTCTCAGGCCCTCCGGTAATGTTAAATAGGAAAATATATCGGAAAGAATTTCTGCTGGTAAGGAATTCATGCTGTAGGTGACGGCTAGGTTTGCTGATAAATTTCTAGCTCGATACCTGCAGATGAAATTTGCAAACGAAAAATTGGTGCTATGGAATAAAAACATAGACTGATTGAGGGCTATCAGTTGTCAAATATCAGCCAAGTAGTAAATTTCGGGTTTCAATTTAGTCTACTAAGACAGAATCGTCAGTAATACATAAAAGCTTTATTGATATAGCCATAAATTAAAATACCGAACAGACGGCACTAAGGATATTATGTAAACTTAAAAAATATACTTACAAATACTTCAGAAGCTCGTTGACTTGTCTTTATCGAACCACTTTTGAAGGCCTTCACACAAATATGGCAAAAGACAACATCTTCTTGCTCGTTATAGTGCAGCTTCTCAAACCACTGGCTTTGCGCCGAACAAAGTACCGGCTTGGACTTTCCAAAGGATCTTTTTGGGAAAACAAAACTACTTCTAGGATGGATAGGAATCTCTGGATTCTCYTGTAGTCTTGACTGCAYTGATTGGTTGAAGTATAAGCGAGTTGCAGATACACGAATTAAGTTAGCTGGTTTAAGACGAACTGATAGATAAATACCGGCTCACACACACATATTGCGGATTTCCCGCCAAATTAATGACATCGATATCACGTGAGAAGTGTTTGTTAATTTTTCTTCTAATCATTTTTTAAAAATCTTTTTTTCAATGAGTTTTCTCATTTTTATTTTTATTCTTTTATTTTATTTATTTATTTCTTTTTCCCCCCCGAAAGTTGGCTTGGTTATCATGATCATCATCGTCATGATCATAGGACAATAACATGACTTTTGRAGGGCATATTGTTTATTTGTAGCTCGAGTAGCATCATTTGCTCCCGAGCGTAGCGAAGGTGCAAATGATGTTACAAGGGCCACAAATAAACAATATGCCCTCCAAAAGTCATGTTGTTATATCATTATCATCAATAAGCTAAGTCAACATTTAGCAAATGTTCCAAATGTCASAACTTTGGCTACTCATTTTCTAGTTCAAAATTTGGATAATTTTCCATGTTACAACGGTATTTTGACGAAAAAAAGTCGCCTCAAATCTCTTCACACTCAAAACAAAAACCGAGTTGGTGYAWAACAACTCGTGCGCTTTCAAATGGTTTTCTCGTTGACACTTGATTGGTCAAGAACGGTCGTGCGAGCCCTTTATAGCCAATCAGCAACAGGGCTGCAAATGTATTTGCAGCACTCCAAAATCCATTTACGCCCGCTGGCCGCGCGTTTTCAAAAGGGCAGTTTATTATTTGGCTTAGTTTATTGGTGATAATGATTATTATCATAATCATTAATATCAGGCGTTATCAACATCATCATCATCATTATCGTTATCATGATCGTTACTATCCGTTCGTCCGTTGCGTTGCGTTGCGTTCGTTCGTTTGTTTGTTTGCTTGGTTATTTATTTATATATTTGTTTTATGGACCTTAGAAACCGAAAGAAAGGCTCATCAAGCAACAAACCAGGGAAAAGATGAATTGCAAAGGACCTTAGACACCGAAAGACAAGCGCATCAAGCAACCAACCAGAGAAAAGATG